CTTTCTTATTTGTTTCTTAGTTGATTACATTAAATTACCATAACTCTGCTAATATAAGTTTTGCACTTAAAATTGACTCACTCTTTGGCAAGTCAAATTGACTCATTGACAAGTCAAATTGACTCTTTGGCAAGTCAAATTGACTCTTTGGCAAGTCAAATTGACTCTTTTGCAAGTCAAATTCGTTCTTTTACAAGTCAAATTCATTCTTTTACAAGTCAAATTAGCTCTTTTGCAAGTCAAATTCATGTTTTTATCTTGCAATTTGACTTACAAAAAGGTGAGTTTAAAGTGCTAAACCTATATTAATCGAATCTGTCAATACTTGCGTGCAAAGATGATATATAAAGAAGTTGTTGTGATATTTGTTTATCAGATCAAAATTGATTATTTTTCTTTCCATCTTGTAAAAGAGTAGAAATTTATGCAACTTTTCTGACTCGTCGGCTGTAGCTTTCATTTCTATCTCTTTAACCGGATTGAATATTTCGTTAAAGTGCGATTGTAATTGTTTGGAAATTAGGTCTAGATTGGAAGTATCGTCATCATATGTTGCAATTAGCGTATTGCTTTAAAAAGAGCGAAGAATACTGAACTCGACGCCTTGGGGAATAACAGAGCGTATTAAATACAGGTCAGAACTGTTGTCCCGAGTTTTAACTTTAAAAACATACTAAAATAAGAATAGAAGTTCATATATAAATATTACATGCATCCGATATGACCTGGTTTTCGAGTTACAGTTTATTTGTACTCTTTCTTTTGTTTTCAAGATTAACAGGAGCTACTTATTACAATTTTTCAACTAAATAAATTAAGTACACTATTGTATGAAAGTTTTTTTTAAATTAGCGATTCCTATTCTGATATTGGGACGGGTGAAATTTTGAATAGATCACAAAATGATTGCTGTTTCAATTGACATTTTCTTAAAATATTATAATTAAAGTATGAACAATATAGTAAAATAAAAATAAGAAAATATATGGAAAATAAACATAAATAATTTGTATTTTGTAATATACTTATATTATACAATATTACATTAAACTCTAATATCGAAATAATAGAAATTTGTTATCTCAGACCTTTTGTTAGAAATTTTTTGATTTCCTGTGTATTAAATCGAATCCGATCGAGTTCGATTGAGGAGAAATGAACGATGGTAATTTACCTCGAAGTTCTTTTCCAGCTGTGGAAAAATGGTAGGAAAGTGGGTTGGAAACTCATCGGAGGGCTGATCGCACTGTCCTTAATGACAATCTAAGACATTTCGAAACTTCCTTTCGTTGTCAATCTAATTGTTTTTCTTATTTCTTTCTTTCCTATTCTATTTCCTTTTATCAGTTTTTCTAATTTCAGTTCTTTTATGAGACCTTCACTGTATATATGAATGAATTGATTATTTTCCATATGACACTAAGTGTTTCACTTGTACGAGATCACGCATATTCTTTTTTTTTTTATATATATATATATATATATATATATATGATATTTTCTACTTCTTATTTGATTTAGTTCGCGTTACACGTAAATTCGGTAAATTCTTTCTATCCGAATTCGTAAACTATAGATACGCGACACTTTCATAGCGAACCGAGAGAGCGGTTCGATAGCTCGCGTAAAAACGTTACTGGCAAGCTGCGCTTCGTGCTAATGAATATTCCACTGCATATTTTTCCATTTCTTTCTATTTTTTTCCCCCTTTTTCCCCCTTTTTCCCTTTTTTTTAATTATATTTTGTAATGTGTTTTTCGTCGACATAAAGGTACACATAACATAGATACGAGTTCCTACCTCCGAGAGCTTTCATTTTGTTATTAATTTCAATTGCATTTATGCACACATATAAATATAATACATGCGTACACGTATAACCAGTCGCAGAAGCTTTTTAAACTTTTTTGTTTTTAAATTGATCAACTTTTTATATTCGATTCACGACAAACTAAAATGCTTATAAATTATTTTACTAAAATGTTAAAACAATATTTTTTCTACGGTTATTAATGTTATTTACTTAATACTGTTATTCACTTAATTACGTATTTGGTAGGATTAAAGTTATTATAAATGAACAAGGTTTTTGAATATTTGTGAAACCGACTGTACGTTTTTATATATAAGAATGTAATTTTGTAGAACTCTTTTCCTCTTTCTTGTACTGCTTTCTCTCTCTCTCTCTCTCTCTCTCTCTCTCTCTCTCTCTCTCTCTCTCTCTCTTTCCCCTCTCTCTTTTTCTATTTTTCTTTGTTTGCCTGCTTGTCTTTCATACTTTTAATTAGGTACTAAATTTGTTATCATGCCAACACTCGTGACCCATTCTTGCATTAACTATTAAAATAGTTTGTTAAAACGCGTATGCAACTCGAATTTTAAATTTTCCTAAAACTGGATAGCGACAATAAAAATGAAACAAATTTAATTAGTCATGATTCTATTAATGTTCTTTCTTTCTCTTTCCCTTTTATTTCTCTTTGAACTTTCCCTTTGCTAGCCATTTATTGTTATAATTTCGCATCAAGACAGAATTTTTGTTATTTTTTAATTAAGTTTTTATTATCTCTTATTATTTTAATTTCGTATTTATCTCAACGGTTCGGTAGAAATATTTTATACATTTTATTATAAGAAACTTTCTATGAAAATAATGAAAAAGTATACATATTTTTGATCACTATTATGTCACTGTTACTGTTATTTTAGATTAGAATTGTATCGAAGAACGCGTACTGCAATTATAGATATGAAAGGGCTCAAAATGCGACAAAATTTGATGGTACAAGTGAGCAGAATTGCACAAAATTTCAATACAAACTACCAAAAAAGGGAAAGAATTCTATTCGAATCGTTTCCCGCTCGTTTCAAGATGGTTCTGATTGTTTCATTATTATATTTCTAGCTAACCTAATGTTGATAGGGAATAAAAAAAAAGAGGAAGAGAGAAAGAAAGACAAGTAGATTTCTCTTGGGATTGTTTGACTTTGGGGAAATCGGCAGATTTATCTTCCCGGCGTTAGTTTCTCATTCGGTCCTGTTCGATCGAATAGCCGATTAGTGCAATTTTCTTTTTTCTTCAGACTAGCTGACTGTGCAGTAATTAACACTAGCCTCGATTACACTAAAACCCGAGGAAATGCATTTCCCAGTCTCCTATCTCTATTCTTTTTCGCACGAACCCCATCAGATTTATTTCTAATACTCAGCAGAGTCTCATCTTAGTATTTCCCAACTTTTCTTTCCATTCTTTTTACATAAGCTTTTCCCGAAATGTCAGTCTAACCGAACAATTAGACTATTTTATGTAAATTTGCAAGTTTTTAGATAAAAATGTGATTATTATTATTAGTTGTCCTCGTAATTTGGTTGAATTGCATCGGTGGATTTATGCGTCGCACCGAAGGTGCTTACTTCATCCGTAATTGCGTCCTTAGATTCGCGCTCGCGGCATTTTACAATTCACATTTATCACGGCTCTCTCGCAAGATTCCAAGTGAAAATATACGGCCCGGAAACAAGAGAGTACGCCGCCATTCGTTAAGACGTTTAATTTTATATGACTCTCCATGGACGGTGCTTACCTTCTTTCCCTTTTTCCCTTTTTCCCTATCTATCTATCTCTCACGAGCGCGCTCGTTGACGTTATTTATTTTATTACGAGACAGACCAGAAACCATTTCTCTCTTTCTGCTTAGAAAGCTTAAGCAGAACTTTACCAACAATTAATATCGTATTTTTATGCAAAACCTTTTCCTACTACGTTTTCATTTCCTTTTTAGCTACTTTTTTTTGATAGCGGTGACATTGTTTTTTCCCCATCACTTATCTACTTTGTCACATTTTTTGGATTTGCCAAAATTCTCATTCGATTGTAACTAATGAGAGAGGAGTTCGTTGAGAGTAATTAAGCACAGAGCAAAGTATCCCCCCGATGAGTAAATTATCGGTCGAAGTTACGAAACGCGAAAACAACGTCCGAAAATAAAACGCGTACGTAAATGAATAACGCAACGGAGAAGCCAAAGTTTCAATTAATCGTTCTAAATAAAAGAAGCGTTCTGGCGTGTACCAGAATTTCTTTAACGAGGAGAAAGCTTTACAGGCATTTCCTAATATTTATTTCATATATCGCGCCAATTAAAAAGGAGCTTTTGCATTTTTTCCTAAATTCTTTCAATTCTCTATCAACAATATAATATTAAATATTTCATTTTTTAAAGGGAACTCCTTTCGAAAAATAATTGAAACGGAAATAAAATGTATTTATCTCTTTTCTTAATTTAACTTCAATTATTTTCGTAGTCAACGCGCAACTGACGTGACATATACATGAGTTGATTCAATCGTGTCTCGTAAAACAACGATGTATCTAATTCACCTGGTTGAATGATATTTTATCCGTGGTCGCTTTGTTTTGCCATTTTGATGGCTCTTAGAATGAAAAGGAGACTTTGCTTCTACGGCTTTATTCAGCTTTCTCAGCATCATTAGCGATTTTCAAACGACGTTTATTAATATTGCCAGAGATAAGCTGGATCAGACGTAATTAATATTTTCTTCTGTTAACACTTCCTATAACGTGGTTATTATCCAACCTCGGACCGTTATTAAATACGATCTTTCATCTTTTTTTCATTAATCCTTTTTTTTTTTCTTTTTCGTCGTAATATACAGCGTGTCAGGCTCATTTTAGAAATTACCAACAGACGTAAAGACGATGGTCAGTGGTTACCGGCACTTTTATATTCTAATCATTCGCAATAAGTTCCTTAGGTTTAAAATATGTATACATTTTTATTACTACATGTATATGCACTTCAGTTAACGTAAATAAACGTTAATACTTACAGTGTCTTCAATATATTACATATTATATTAGTAGACAAAAAGTAGATTTGATCAGGGTGCTCATTGACAAATAAAAAAAATCAGAGACATATATTTTTTTAATCGATAAATAAAATCATTTGTCAATAGGAAATCATTAAAGACGTTAATTTTGATAGCGATCATAGCGATCAGCAATGAATTTTATTAGAACGATTACAACGAGGTAAAGATAATCTACAACTTTTCTTTCTTTTCCCTTTTTTTTATTCGAAAGGGTATCGAGATACTACATATGCACAGGAAATAAATCAAACATTCACATATCTCGTCGTCTCATTTGCGATTATGATGCACTTCATTCGCGATTGACACACATACATAAATCGTTTACGTAATTGATCCTCCCAATGGAATTCTATAAAAAAGTTTGTGTTTATTTCCTATCGTATAATATTATATATATAATATAATATATATAATATGTGTTTTTGAGAGAGAGAGAGAGAGTATATATTTATATATAATATTTTTACATATATATATATATACCGTGATATCTTTTTATCCTTATCCTACTCTTCTTCATTAATTTGGTACGTATTGGCTGGAGTTTCGATATTTTTTATTTACGATATTACGATAAAGTGTTCTATTTTACGAATAACTTCTTAATTCTTAAACATGTATGTGTATACGCGAGAACGTATTTATTTGTGTGTATGCATTTTAATGCATCTACAAATTTCTTTATCTGTGTGTATTTCTGTTAGTGTATGCGCGTGTTTATATATATATATATATATGTATATATACAGATGTTTATATTTGTGCGAGTGTATGCATGTAGTATTAAAATGTGTTTTTTCTTTTGTATTTTATGTATATTAACGTGTATGAACGTATTTAGGTATGTACGTATACGTACATATTATATGTATGTGTGATTGCATATTTATATACAGCAAATCTTACGGCGAAAAATTCTTAGCAAGAAATACTATAACGATAATGGGATTTTTTGCTAAGACTTTTTCCCGAGCCTTTGTTGATTGTTTCCAATCTAACCGACCCTTCCTTTTTCCATTTATGTTTACTCATGGAAGAACGTAAATGCTCTTCTATTTCTTTCTTTCTTTCTATTTCTCTTTCTTACACCCTCGCCCCCATGGTCCCATCGGTTAAATGAACAAAAATATCTAACAAAATTGGAGAATTGTTCGATAAATGATAGAAATTAATATTGTTTCAATGATATTTTAACATTTTCTATTGACCACATTCTACGAGACAATTTATTTATTTGTGTCCTCTGTAATTATGACACTGGAAAATGCAATGAAGAAAACATGTGGAATACATATACGGGATGACTCGATGTCGTAGAAAATAAAATCTCCTTTGAAGAGTGAAACTTAAATCGCGTTGTAACTTTGTTGAATAAACTTTTCACCGTTCCTAGAGAAATTTATGAGAAAAACGATCTCTCTCTCTCTATCTCTTACTCACTCACTCCCGTTGGAGATATTTATGCATATGTTGCCGTATCACCCACCGTTGTATGCACGTGATTCTTCTTTTCCATACTCTGACGCGTCCCATCTACGAAATATTTCTTTTTAGATACGCTTTTTTTCTTCCCCCTTTATTTTTTTTTTTAACTTTGTTCTCGTTTCTCTCTCTCTCTCTCTCTCTCTCTCTCTTTTCATTTTTCTAACAGAAACACACAGGTTTTCTTAACAACCGTATGATTCGTATTCGCAGTAGCTTTGAGCTAGGCGTAAATGATTTATTTCACGATCGATTTGATATGTACAGAATGTATAATTCGTATTTACAATCGGCAACATCCTCCCTTATCGTTAAACTCGTATTATTTGTATTTTTCGTTCGCGTGCGTCACTTTGATTGAGCTGGTTTATTAAAACTTTGATATTAATATTTATTATCGCAACACGAGCTCTCGTTATCTATTATTGTTAATAGTAAAATGAACGTCTAGTAAATGTTCCTTTGACGCATTCGCGACAATAAAATGCGTAAAGGGTGTCTCGCGTGAAATTTCACATGCAATTATTCTCTAAATTATTAATTATTTCACGCGAATTATTAGAAATAATGTTATTTTAAATGAATATTTTGACAATGAGCAATAACGCGCGCAGTATAATCATTTCTATTCGTAACACATATTTTGAAGTAAACGAATTATTTGTTAAACAATTGTAAATAAATGTTTTTATGCGACATCCCTTGTAGATATGTAAATCTTGATGTTCCTTATCAATTAACGAAATAATCGGGTTATAAATTTTGGGCGTGAAACAAATATGACGTTGTTAAGAAATGAAAATTGAGTAAAGAAATAAAGATAGAGGAAAAAAGTGATTTTGGATGATTTCGTGAACATTTAAAATGTAAAACTCGTTAATCGAATCGTTTAATAATTATTTACGCATATGTGTATGTTAGTTTTCGGATGAATCTTGCACTAGGAAAGGCTAGAATATCGTCCGAAGGAATAGAACGAGGGGAAGTAACGTCGCCGTCATCATTCTGTCGCCGCTTCCGTGATGCATCGCTGCTGGATGTTCTTCTGAAACAAATGCTATGCTATACACGGTTTATAATAAGAAATTAGAAAGATCGTTTCCCGTTTGGTTGGAGGGAATGGAAAAATCCAAATTTATCGTTTACCATTAACTATATGCACTCGGACGCTGTTGGGATGAGTATTGTTAGGCGAACACGTGTAAAGTCCCGAATCTTCCTGGATGGCCTTCTGAATGAGCAAACGGCTCGACGTGATGGGTCCTTTTTCCGTGATCAGGCTAATGCCGCCTCTCGGCGAATCGAAATTAATCGCCTGTGAAAGAGAAAGACCCAGAGGGAACGAGATCTTCCTGTGGTGGCATTTAACCTTCTCACCACCATTCGACAAATTTCACATCACCATCGTACCTTTTTCCTAAATCTTACTAATCTTCGTAGAATAATAATTCATAGTTAGTCCATATTGCGCACTCCTTATTTTAGATATTTCAAATGATTAGACTAATTCACGAAGGTTAATAAAAGCATTTATCAGCGTTAAATCGAAGAATCTCGTTCGATAGTTTGTTCTAAAACAGATTCTTGAAAGATATTCAAATGGAAATACGGTTTAATTTTGAAAGTTCGTTTTCAAATTACACGTCGCTCAGAAACTCCTCAAGCCGTATCCGTTCACTTGCTCCGCATCTAATTCAGATAATCCTATTATCTTAATGTCTAGGTCTCTTGAGAATGCTACAACCTTTAGATTCCATTATTCCCGCGCAGCTAACAGATGCCTTAGAAAGTACAATAATACTCTTGCTAATCTTTAATCGGCTTAATAGGCTTTGAGAACCTCTTGTCGATCGAGTCATATCATTCGTTATCAAAATTATCAATAACTATTCATCTTAACTAAAGATCTCTCTACACTCTTCAATGTTTTCTTTCTTAAATATCTTGCATCTTTTTGTATAAATTTAAATTAGGGACCCCATGCGGAGAGGGGGCTTTGATTTTGGTCATAATTATTATTTATTCTCCTACCTGTCGATTGTGACTCCAAATTATCGTGGACGGTGGTTCTGGTGCGTACCTTACGAGACACGTAAGATTTATCGTGCTGTCTATGTTGATGAACAAATCTGGACCTCCTGTAATTTCGGTCACTGGTTCTGAAAACAAAAAAAAGAAGAAAACAATTGCAGATAATATAATACTTATTAATACCTTACGTTGGTGCAATTGTTACTTCAAAAAACATGCACATAATCTATATAAAGCAACATATAATTATTTAATATTCATGATTTTCAACAAGAATTTAGGAGGTCAACCTATTGAAACCTTCTGTTGATTTTGGCTTTTATTAGAAATCGGTATTATACTATTCGAGAAAGTTTTGGAAATTTGGGTAGATTCTATTGTATTTAGACAATGAATTCTCTGAGGTCATCTATAGTACAATTTGTTCCAGTCTTCCGATGTAACTATATAGAAAAAATTTATCATAAGAAAAAGAAAAAGCCGAATACGTCTAGAGACGTAGTTGAAAAAATAAACCCGCCAGTAGGTTTTTTTTTATAAAAGAATTTTCAAAAATTAGAAAATATTTCTTCTCCATTTAACGAATTTTATTGCAGTCGAATAAAGTTTATAGTGTTATAAACATTATTTTTATCATTCCATATTTATAAAATAACTTTAAAAATATTTGTTGTAAAAATACGTAAGCAAATGTTTAGATTTATAATTGGAGCGTTTATTTTGAAAGTGGTGTAAGTTCATTTTCTGTTGTTTTGAGAAAATTAAAGGTTTGTCACCTCGATTCTAAATCTTATAATATTGAAAATTGGCTTCGTAACGTTTCTTCGCATCCCCTCCCTAAACACCAACAACCCCCTCTGAAGAAGCAACAGAGCGAAGAGGGGACACGCGCACTAACCAATCCAAACACTGATTTTAGATATTTTAGGAATAGCTTTGCTTTGATTGGCCCGCTATATTTTATATACCTCGACTAATTTTTGGAACGTTCAGAGAAATTTTCCTTATATTGTATATATTCCGGCACGAGTATCCTTAACATTTAATTTCGATGAAACAAAATATTCGGACCATCGATGTCTAGTATACTGAGACTAATCCACAAATTTCTAATAGTAGAACAATAGTTGTTATTAACAATTTACTAATAATTTAATTAACAATTTAACCTTGTATATTTCGTTATTTAATTAAACACCAAGACATTTTTCTTGAGCTTTCCGTTGAAACTATGATTATTTGTTATGTGTAAAAATACATCAAAATGTTTGCGAGTTTCTTGGCGACCGACGTGACCTGACCGAAAAATCCAGTGCCAGTCCAACGTACAAAAGCATGAGTTTAAAAGGTAACCTAATATTATATATACGTTTTCTTCTCTTTTTTATCTTTTCTTCGAAGGATTAACACGTTAACGTCCTATTCTACAATTGCATCCGAATTTTCAATCTTAAATATTTAAAGAATAGAAAGTTGCATCTTTTTTAATAGTTTCATTCCTTTGGTGAATGTATCTTTTGAAATTTAAAGTTCTTCTTCTTCTTCTTCTTCTTATTTTTTTTTCTCTTCGAACTGCTCTCTTGACTATCCTTTTCGATATCTGCTCACGTATGTTAATAAAAACCTAAAAGACCATATTTAAGACACGATATTAATTGAAAAAGCCATGTTACATTTGAATGATTATAAGATTGATTCAAAATAAGGTAAACTGTAAAATATAAAAACTGTTAATAAAATACAGTAATAATTAATAAAATAACATTTGTTGACAATTGGTTAAAAAGAGGGAATATTGAAAAATTATTCAAATAAATATTAACCCCGCTCACCGTAATAATAATATCTTGGCAGAAGAGATTCGATGGAAATAAAAAATATTTGTAATGAAAAATAACGTGGTTATTATTACACCATGCGTTGAATTAACTTCTCTTTAATCTGAAAATCATGTCTATAGTGAGTAAAGGAAAAAATTATCAAATATACTTGTCAGTAGTTTACTTACCTCGTTAAGAATCCACATAAAAAATTTTTTGTTTATGGTGCGCATGCAGTAGTCTTATAATTATAAGATTGGCCAACATTCTACACTGATCGGCATTACCATCCTGTCTACTGCAAATATGTACTTCCATAATATGTATCAGCAGAAATTGCAATGCAAATTAAGTTTTGCTTTTCCTATGAAATCCCTTTACGATTCGGGAAAGGAACTGAAAAGAAAAAAAAAAAGAAAAATGCTAAAGAAATAAATCAAGAAAATAATCAAGCCGAAATTACAATGTTCTTCGTTACGGGTTTCGAATTTGTTTTTAGTGTTTTGGGATAAATGTTTTCGCTCATTTTTTAAATGAACTAACAAAACAAGTGTTTGACCTATATAAACGTACAACAATAAAAAAATTGGTTGACCAATTGAATCATAGAAAATTGTGATCTGTGTACTTTTCTCTTCGTCGTGAATGAAAATTCGAAGGAAAAAATAATTCGAATTGAAAATAAGATAATAAATGGACATAGAGAAAATTTGTAGTAATCCACCGGGGCATAATTTGTCGCATAAAACTGATACGATTAACAGTTGAAAGTATAGAATAAATTGCTTTTACTGTTCGAATATACGTTTATGACCCTATTGCAATATATCTTTGCAATGTGTAAACTTATATTAGTTCTGCCTTTGCTAAACGATTAGGGACATTTTGAAGATTTTCAAAAATATCATTTTCGACATTGTCCTTTTACACATTACGTTGATTGAAATAGTTATATAAAGATCTTTGAAGGTAATTTTCAATAGTACCGGTCATCCTAGGTGACCAATCGATAGGCAATTGTCAGCCTACTGCAGTTAATCTTCCTTCTATACAGCGAGTAGGAATGCGTTTAATTATCGTTCTCTTGTGCCAATTTATGGATTGTTAAGGCAGCTCGATGAGATTAACTGTACTTTCAGTCGTCGCATCCTAGACTAATCGCTATTATCAACCAATGCGATTGATCCTTTAGTGTAAAGAGGTTCTTACTCAAATGCCAATCGTAATCGACTAAAGATCAGTACGACCCCGTTACTTGCCAAACAATTCCTTTAATTGATGAATACTCTTTTTCTCAAGGAGTACGAGTTTTGCCACAAAATCTAGAATGAGAAACGCGCTGGAAAATGATGACACGTTCTTTTTAGCTTCAATTTGCTAAAAAAAACCAATGCTGATTCCACCAATTTCTTCATCATTTTTGTTGCAATTAGATTTTATATCCAATTATAATTTTATTTATAATCATGCTTGCCAATAGAGAAAATATCATTGTTTGAGAAACATTTTATTGATTAGATAAGACCTTTCTCAAAAGTTTGGAAGATTTGATTATCTTAATGGTTTTGAATAGAAATTCAGGAGATTAGAGACAAAGATTCGGATATCTAAATGAAGAAGATTCGATGAATTCCATCCACCGTAATGAATTAATTAGAATCGATAAGTTGATAGATAAACGGGGACGATCTTTGCCGAGAATTCGAATGGAATGTTTCCTTTTCAACGATCAAAGGTAAATTAGCTTAGTCAATTGGATAAGTCGAATTTGTGTATAAACTTTCGATAAAATAATTAATGAAGAATTTAAGTAACTTGATAGAATATCTTGGATGTCAGAGACCTTCGCAATTTGTAGATTTTCAAGCTTTAGACAATAATCTCATAAACTCATTGGCATAAGTTCAACCTAGTACGATATTTTCTTCGATAGTTTCTTATTCGTAACTTTCTTTTTCTATTGGATAGTTCTATATCTAGCCACTGTGAATATCCGTAGGAAAAGCAATATAGGAAGGAGTGTGCTCGTCCAAGGACATATCCCTAGAAAGGAAATGAAGATCTCAGTCGACTATGCAAAGAAACATCGAACAGTGTGTCGGTCAGCAAACGAAGGAAATCTTCCTATGATCTTCCCCCTTTCGCTTACATTTCGATCGACTGAAGAGTATTAAACGTGCTTCCTACGTTTTCACGTTTACAGAATATCTGAGGTTTTCTAGCTCGCGCGTTCTGGCGTCCTGAAGTATTGTTGGTACATAGAAATATCTGAAATATCAGAAAATAATATATGTTAACGCGATAAGTAGTTATCAGAAAACCCATACACGCGTTACCGCTTTCGTGAGCGTGGAATTCGGCTTAACGGGGCTTTCGGTGCAAGCGACTAGCTATGATTCTCCTACGTTATTCCCTACGATATTGCACTATTCCATTGCATTGCATTGCATTGCATCGCATCGTATCGTATCGTCGAAGACCAGAGGAAGTTCGCTCCTACGTCCAACTCTGACAGATTCTACTCTCGCGTTTCCCTACCACGAGAATTCCTCCATCTCCATCTATCTACCAATAATAATTTTCCGTTGACATTTCTCACCGACAGAATATCGATGATGAAACGTCCAGGTACCATGATCAATGGGTAATACCAAATTTGATACGGTTAGATCAATATTTAATTAATTTTGAATTAACTCAACGCGAACTTTCTTATTTGTTTCTTAATATGTTTGCCCAAAAAATGAAAATAAAATAACAAAAAGATGGATACTATTTTAATGAAATGAAATGAATCTGTTTTTCTGTGAAAAAGTTTGTCCGTATTTTACTGATAGATCCGATAGTTTTAGGATTAAATTTGGTATTATTCGTTTGTTTGTTTGTTAACGAAATTTGTACGGTAAAATAGATAAAGGAAAAAGATCCCATGGAAATTACTCGGCGTTAAGTTAAACTCTAGTCGAGGGATAGGAAGCGTCGTTAACGAGGTCAAAATGCTCGATTCGGGACAACGTAAGATCTCCCTCGTCTATCTGTACGAAGCTTCCAAGTAGTTTTGGCTTGGACTTCTCGCGAAGGGAACACTTCAAACATCGAACTGCCATTTACACAAAAGCCAAAGGACTACGTTGCTGACATTAAGATCCTTACTTGGAATATATACTGCGTTACCTCTTTCAACTTTTAACTAAAGTAAGAGAAAAGAGGATAGAAATTGAATAACAAAAATAAGAATTTTCTTTATAGCACAAATTTGTAAGAATAAAATGGGGCGTACCAGCATATCCGCTTAAACACACTTACGC